CGCGCCACGGCCGCCATTTTGCTTTCCAAAATGGCGGCTGCGGCTTGTTTGCGCATGCGCAGGAGTACTGCGCATGAGCAAACGAGTCACAGCCGCCATTTTGGGAAGCAAAATGGCGGCGGCAGTGTGCGCGGCAGTGGCCGGCGGCAGTGGTGTGCACGGCAACAGCGGTGGGGGTCCACGGGGGCTGGTCGGCAGGGGTCCGCGGGCCGGGTGCGGCCCACGGGCCGTAGGTTACTGACCCCTGGTGTAGATGCACCCCAGCTTCAGTTTAGGCTACTTCAATTTAGACTACAGGTTGAGTATCTATTATTCCAAAATCCAAAATAACCCACATGGATGGCTGAGATAGTGACACCTTTGCTTTCTGATGGTCCACCTTTGTTTCATGTGCAAAATTATTAAAAAATACTGTGTATAAAATTACTTTCTGGCTATTGGTATAAGATGTGTATGAGACATAAATGAATTTCATATTTAGACTTGGGTCCCATTTCCAAGATATCTCATTATATACAATGGGCCCCCCACATTTGCTGTGGTTTAGGGTTACAACTTAAAACTGTAGTACCAAAAAATAATAATAATTTTTCCAAACTCTGTTTTTGAAAACATGAAATCCATGTGTTCTCCATAAGAGGACAAGAGACTTGAAGGCTTACACACAATACAGAAAGAAGTCTTTTTAATCTGTAAAGCAATCTGAATTCAGTACCAAAGATTAGCATTCCAGATAGAGGCAACTGGACTGTGGAACTCCCTCCCACTGGAGACTTGGCAAAGACCTGGGTTGCCTGTAGATCAGCTGGCTATGTCTCCCATTTTGAGAGAAAGGTGGGATAGAAGTGCAATAAATCTGATAAAATTCCATTGTCTTACTATGTGTTAGGCTTAGCTTAGCATGGTGCTTTGAGCCTTGGGACTATGACTCTGGAGACCAGGGTTTGAATCCCAGCTCAGCCATGCAAACTCACTGGATGAACCTGGGCAAATCACACTCTCTCAGCCTCAGAGGATGGCTAAGGCAACCCCCCTCTGAAGAAACTTGCCAAGAAAACCCTGTGATTGGTTCACCTTATAGGGGAGTCATAAATTGGAAGTGACTTGAAGGCAAATAACACGCACACAGTTGGAAATTGCTGATGTGTGTGTGTGTGTTTTAATGTATGCTATTTAATATATGTTATAATATTTATTTTATAATATATATGATAGAGTCACCTTAGGGCTGCCATAAGTCAGAAACAACTTGAAGGCACACAAAAACAACAAGCCATTTTAAATTGGATGGTTTCCTTATTGTTTTAAAAATCTTTGTATTAGAATTGGTTCTTTAAAGCTGTATTTTGTTTTAATCTATGTTGTGAGCCACCTTGGGTCCCCTACCCAAAAGATTTAAGTTAGATATTAGGTCCATAGAACCAGCGTGGCATACAGGTTTGTGCGCTGGACTACAAATCTGGAGACCAGGGTTCGATTCCTTGCTTGGCCATGATGAAACCCACTGGGTGACCTTGGGCAAGTCACACACTCTCAGCCTCAGGGGAAGGCAATGGCAAACCACCTCTGAACAAATCCTGCCAAGGAAACCCAATGGTAGGTTGCAATAAAAAGAAAACCATGATAGTTTTGCATTAGGCACTCTATAAGTCGGAAATTATAGAAGGCACAGAATAACAATATAGGCTTAGATTAAGGGCATGCGCCAAAGCCCTAGTAATGGGGATGGCTGGCAAATAAGGGGCATGCATTTAAGGGCAGATGATGCTATTGTTTTCTTATGAGGTTGGCTTCTGAGTTGTCTCATTTTGGCTTTTTCTCTCCCATCTCTCCAGGGGAGGAACTCATTCAAAGGTGGTGCTTCTATCAGAAGATGGCAAGATCCTGGCCGAGACGGAGGGTCCCTGCACCAACCATTGGGTAAGGATTTCCGGTCCCCCTCCCCAAAGAGGGTAAAGGGGTAACCAGGATTAGGATAAGCCTTTTTGGAAGAATGGGAGTGGAAAGGGGATCTTGCAAAGAAGCCACCATGATAACCTCTTGTAACAACTCAGGGCTTGTCTACGCTGGTGAAAAACACGGCACTCACCCCAAAGCCAGTGCTGACAGTTTTCATGATGTATGGCTATTTCTGGTTTTCCGCTCTTAACCCAATTATATATAACACACACAAACACACACATTGTAATGCAGATAGCCATGGTTTTTGGCTCTCAACCCAATTATACATAACACACACAAACACACACTGTAATCCATGGTTTTTGGCTCTTAACCCAATTATATATAACACACACAAACACACACACACACTGCAGTGCAGAAATCCATGGTTTTTGGCTCTTAACCCAATTATATATAACACACACAAACATACACTGTAATCCATGGTTTTTGGCTCTTAACCCAATTATAAATATAACACACACAAACACGCACACTGCAATGCAGAGATTCATGGTTTTTGGCTCTTAACCTAATTATATATAACACACGCAAACACACACACTATAATGCAGAAAACTGGGACCATGAGGCAATATGTTACCAGTAACTGAGGTTATTCTTGTTCATTTTCTTCTTCTTGGAGAGCAGCTGGTTGGCTCAGACAAATGTCTGGAAAGAATCAACGCCATGGTCAACGAAGCCAAGGGGAAGGCAGGGGCTGATCCGCAGGTTCCTCTTCGTTCCCTGGTAAGTCTCTGCCCACCCATCCCATGTGCCCCTCTTCTTCCTAAAAAGCACCCTTGCCAGCCTAGAAGCCAACAGAAGCTTTTGGACCAGCTGTGGCACTTTGGGAAAATCCACCTGGATAGGGACAGGCGACAGGAAAGCTAGGTCTGAATGGAGTTGTTTTGTTGGAATGATGCTGCTGATCGGCGACGCTCATCCCATCTTCTAGGAAATCCTCAAGGAACACATTATT